TCCACCGTGTTTCCCGTTTTTATTTGCACGTTAATATTACATCTGCTCTGTTATTCTGTAGCTCTTGCGTAACGCAGATATAACAGGAGAATACGTCGAGGTACTGATTCGAAATTCCGCGAACAAGAAATTCATAGAAACATATATTTTCTGCGTCGAAAATATTGTATTCTCATCTAATACGATGGATTATTTTAGCTGGTGTCCATCGGAAGAATGTTAGATACGTATGAACAATTTTAACGCTTTAGGCGTCGTCTACAATATGCGAAGTAAACTTGGTTTAAGAAGTAAGAGTAAGAAATTGACCAATCACAGTTGATTATTCTTCTCACATTTGACTGTGATTGGTCAATTTCTTACTCTTACTTCTTAAATCAAGCTTACTACGTGTATTGTATGTAGACGGGCCATTAGGTTAATAATGATAATACTGCAATAATGTGTTGAATTCCAATTTATTTTTCCGATAGCAAAATATCACCACAAAAATGTGATCGTTACCACAAAGCTTATGTTACAGCATTCTAACATGATATATCTAAATGTACTGTATTTATTAATTTTAACTGTAAATTTGAATATTGAGAATGACTCGATAAAGGTTGAAACGTTTGTTATGTTTTTATAATTTCTGCGTTTATTAATATATAGGGTGTAACTGAAATAACACTCACTAATCATACAGTGCTATTCCTAATAAAAAATTAAGTTGAAGTCTTTTACCATTTTGCAATTTTCGCAATAGTTAACGAGATATTAATTCCTAAATATTGCCGAATAAATGGATAAAATCAATGTATAAGACAATTTTGAGATATCTTTCCGTGTTCTTTGTGAAATATTTTGAAGATTTTTCTTAAAGAACTTTTAAAGATATCTTAAAGCTGTCTTATACGTCGATTTTAGACATTTTGCTCATTGGGTAACTAAAAAAAAATATGAAAGTTGCAAAATGGTAGAGGACTTTTCGTCTCAGTTTTTTATTAGGAATAACACTTATGATTAGTGGGCGTTATTTCAGTTATACCCCATATAGCATTGAACATTCAACCGCATCCAGCTTGGCTCGCAGCCCCTTCTTTTGTATTTATTGAATTTTTTAAATTGTTGAGTATTTTATATAATTATTGATTCTAACATGATATATTTTTAATGCGAAAATTTAAAATATTTTCTTAAATATAAAGGGTTAAAGTTAGAAAATAATGTTTAGTCTAGATTTTTGTATTAGATAAAAAAAACTCTTGATTTAATACGTTTTTATTGTCTACAAATTATAATTATAATTGATAGATTGATCGTTATACTTGTTCAATAACGCTGTAAATTCTGAAGTATCAAGTTATGACATATAGTCATCAAGTTAAATATTATGGACTTTTACAATAAGCCGTTTCCTAAGCTTTAAGTCTTGCCGTAAGAAATTAACAACCATAGTCGATTATTCTTCTCACTTCTCACTCGACTGTAACTAGTTAATTACACTTAAAGCTTAAGTAACGATTTATTGTTAAATGAGTAGAATAACTCTTATTCTAAAAATGTTATTAAATTCTGTGTTAAAAAAGCTGAAGAATATTAATGCACAAACACATACATTATTGCAATCAATAAAAATCCGAGTAAGAAGCAATTGAAGATGTCTAGTATATTATCAATTGGAAGGTGTAGGATTAAAGAATCACTATAGAGTTCTTCAAGTAAGAGTTAGAACATTAATAAAGAACGTAGGTTTATTTATTTTATTCTATTTTACGAGATATAATAAGATAGAATGAGCTAGATGTCGAGAGAAGGGGGGGGAGAGAGAGAGCGTAAAATAAAATGAGAAAGCAATAACAAAATAGCGTTTCACTCTGTCTTCGCTTGCTTCCTGTTACATATGGCGGATCAGTAAAAAAATCATCACTTCTGTTACTTGAGAAACTCTATCAATTACTACTGACACGACATTAGTTGCTGCTGCTGCTTGCATATGCAAAAATGTCAGTAGCGAGTCTCGTTACTCGGTTTTCGCAAGAGCTATCGCGGGAACGGCGAGTAATAATTTCGTAATTATACCAGGCCTGTTGCTCCCCAGAGAGAGCTCAGTGTGGTCATGGCAAGTATGATTTTGCATTCACGCCGCGGATTCCCGTGGGTATCGTTGTTGCCAGTCGTAGCAGGACGGGAGAAAGAAGAAACTGCGGAAGTGGAGAATCCCCCTTGCATCTCTCGTGATGGTCTTTTTGCCTGCGGAAATGCCGGTGTTTTCCGCCCCGTCTGTCATTGCGCCTTCGCTTTTCTTTCTCGTATTTATTGCTCTTTGTGTCTACCAGAGTCGTTATTTTAAAGTCCATTTTCACGATTCAATAATTCTTTTGTTTCTATGTTCATTATGACGCTACATAACATATCTTTAGAATTCATATTTAATAAGTCTGATGGAAAATTATGATATAATTGAAGGAGTATGCTGTATATTTCTAACAATATAATTATAAAGCTGTTGAAGGAACAATCGTTGATGGTTACAAAGCTGTCATTGATTATTCCTTCTATAGGATATTTGATAATAGAATCATGGTTATTTAAGAGACCTCAATCGATCGACAGAAAATAGTGAAGAAAATGAGCTTAACAATTAATAGCCAAGATTGAACGTACGCTTTGATAATATAAAATCTTTTATGTATTTGCGCGCGCACGCGCGCCTACGAGTATTAATTACATAAAACATGTTTTATAGAAGGCTTTTATTTTTTATTCAGTATATCCGATATTGCGAAGCGAGTGTTTCGTTTCCGTGGTAAATTTGATAAAAATTTCCAGCGCTTTACTGGAGACAGTTTGTAATTTGATCGCGAACTAGATCCCACGTTTACCATCAGCAAACCCTGCCATTTAACGCGAATAAATTTTCGCTTCTGTCTTTTTCGTAGTGTCTTGCTTAGCGTTATCCGAGCTCTCTCAGCTCTTGAAAAATTATGCGCGATTTAAAAATCTGAAAATGTATTCGTTAAATTACTAACGTATAAATGATAACTATATTATAATAAAATATAAGGCTGGACTCTTCATTTCCAAAATTATTTATAATGAAATATGAATTTATTTATTTTTCATTTCATTGGTATTTTATTATCTTTCAGTATTTCAACTAACAATAGTTCACAACTACTATCAAATTTAATATATTCATATTTTTCGAAAAGCAGATATTGTCTATGGATGTTAAGACATTTTATATCGTATGCGAAATGATATGAGTATTGGGATTTACAAATAAATTAATACTTGATTTATTTTTGGCATGAAGCCGCGAGATCGAGGGGAGTGACTCGAGAGAGGTCAGCAGGAGATCGGATGATTTATCGTCGTAATTAATTCGGCACCAGCCTGCCGCTGGCTTTCGCGCGTCACGCAAGAGATACAGAACGGAAGAAAAAGGTCATGCTCAGGGATTATTAACGATGCCATGGATGAGCACGATTTTCAAATTTACGTCAGTTGCATTACTTCCGCTTCTCGTACACGCAAAACATAAAAATTACATTAGTCTTCAAAAATGTTGGAAAAATTTCACTTCTTTCCATCTATCTCTCTGCATAAACGCGTGTACGCTACGTATTTTCCGGAAACCCGTGTTTACTACAGTTTCTCTCCAAACTGTAATTACATTTGCAACTGAAAAAAAGCGGTCGTATTTTTATAACTTGAGTTTTTAAATTGCTAGTACTTTGCTACAACTGGAAGCTCGTAATATATCTAACTATCCTACCTGTGTAAAATAAAAAATATTTGACACTTTTGCGATGAAATTCGTAACGTTGTATGTATCCTTGCAGTTATTATTAGCTTTTCATGATTTTCTTTTATAATATTTTACATGCTACATAGTGATGTTTAAATAATACCGAAAATTGTATCACGCTTGTAGATGTGAAGTATCACAGTTATAATGTCGTTTTAACCAAAGTTGACATAATGTATCAAAATTTTCTTTATACGAACTACTCTCGTAAATGTTTTAGATTACACAAAACGGACGATCGAGCCAAGCTACATGATCGTATGTGGTCGATTAAGAGGGTCGGGGTTTTAAAAAGTTTGGCTATAAAACGTTCCGTGAGTATAAAATTGTCAAGTATTCACGTTGAAAGATACTTGAAAGTATTCTTGTCACATTTTATATATTATTCTTGTCACACAATAGTGTGTCACTATTTCGTGATTCAATCAGTGAATTTATTTTGGTATAATGGCAATATTTTTATTAAGTTTGACTCTCGTTTTGATTGTATTATAACGTTTCATTATATTTTTTACTAAAAATAATTATTAATAGGAAAGGAATTTGTAATATATTTAAAGATTTACCATGCACACATACATGTTCCTTTACTTAAAAAATTTTCTTCTTTATTAATTTTTTGAAATTGAAATTTTTTATTATTATATTTCGTAATAATTTAAAGAATTTATGGTGATAATGTCTTGAAATTGTCAATGCTCAAAATATTACAGATTTTCAAATATATTTTTTAATATTATTAAATTAAATCAAACTGATTTTTTAAATTTATATTTACCTATCACAAAGCATCTACAATATTTTCATTGAGAAATGCATTATTGGTGCTTAAGAGATGATCGTATATAGTCAAATGTGATGGCTATTAGCACAGTATGTCTTATTTTCCTAACAAACAATATCTAACGAGAGGCTTTGTTCCATCAACTGTACTTAGTCGTCGCTAGTTGATCATCCTCCGCCATATACCTAGTCGTCAATTATTCTAACAAGCAACAATAATCGGCGCGACTTCTCCATTCTCTGTTCGCATAAGATCTTCAAATTAATCTCGAGGAGAATTTAATTAGTTGACGAACAATGGCACTGTGACGCGAGACAGAAACGCGGGGATGCGGAAACCGCGTCGATCAGTCATTCACAGACCGTCAGGTACCAACATCGATTACTCTTGCCGAGTGCACTTAATCCACGGCGTATATTGTTAAGCATTAATCGCGACAGCGGCGCTACGCGGAATGCTACATCGTTCAGTGATAATCGATAATCGTACCACTCCGCTAGCGCGCATGATGGATCATACTGGAAAATTCGATTATCGGCTCCATTTTTTGGTAATGTGACCAATCATTCATCGGCCGGTGAATAATTCTCGTCCTTATAAAATATTTTGCGCGCCGGTAAATTTTTTCGCAAGCTTGGCATAGGCAGACTCGAATTTTTAAGATCGTGTTACTTTAATATACTCAGAAATTTTCGTGTGAGTTTAAAAACTCACATTTTTAATCGTAAAAACTATTAAAAATCTCAGTTATTTATTTTAAATATGTAATATTCGCTAATAAAATACTTTTATATAATACTATCAATTTTATTTCAATTTTTTAATGACATTCTTTCTAAAATAAGAATAAATTTTAACAAAATACCGTTCTAAGAATGTTCTCTATTCAGCTACTAAAATTTTCATCGTCTAATGGTATTGTATCAACTGGTTACACCATAAATATTCCATGCCGTTTGAGAATTTCGTTTCTAATTTTCGGTAGTGCAGTTGAGCATTGGTCAGACGCGTATTCGTGTCCGAGCTCGGTCGTCCACAGATCTAGTAGGTGCAGTGCTCGACAAGCGAATCGATGGTTTTACAGCTCGGTCCCTTGCACTGCGATCATGCTATTCAATATCGCCAAAGGTTCACTACTCGACGAGTGAGCGCTGCTTTTATTGTACCCAGCGAATGTGGCCTCCTTCGTCGATCGTCGATGTTCATTCGCTGCTATACGAGTCGAAATGAAAAGGCATTTTCAGCACACCTATTACTTCTTCAATGTTGGTCCGTTGCGTTTCCCCATTCGAATAATAGTAGAAAATTTGACATTTGACTGATTATGAATATTCAATGCGCTGGCTATTTTGCGACTTCGTTGTAACGTGAATTTATCGAGAAAGTTTGCTCAACAGGAGCAATTTACTAGCATGTAGATATTATAAAGTTCGTTACATTTTGTTTTTTCTTTTTAAATATTTACAGTAAAAGAGTTAATAGCAAAAAATGCCAGAAATTTTTTGCATAATATAATTTTTGAATCCATTTCATTGTTTCATGTTTTTATGAAAAATTTCGTAAACATCGAGAATAATTTATTGAAATATATTTTCGTATAAAATATTCTGACGGATAAAAAAAAGTAAAATGAAATATTGAAGCTTGCATGTACGTAAACTTGTTAATGGAGAAATGTATAATTATATTTTTAGTAGGTAGCGCGAATTTTATAAAAATCTCTTACACGCACAGAATGTTACAGATTATTTCGTTTACTTTATACAATGTAAAACGTAAGTTAGAATTTATGTGATTTTAATTATCAGTTCTGTTCTGTGAATTGATATTCTCATATAATTTAATATAATTTAATTATCTATGTGTCTCAACTTAAAGTTAAATAAATAAATCTAAATGTAATTAAGTGAATAATAATCAAATTTAACACAAATCAGAGGGTCGATCATATTTGATGAAAACGAATTTTGTTGTTTAATAATATTAGTTCGGTCAAATGAAAAGGTGACAAGTGCTGTAGCGACCACCTCTAGCATGATACCAAATAATCTGTTATGCATATTTGATGTTGGTTACATACGTGATGTTACGTGTGCATAACATGCATGTGACGTCACGTACCCTTGGACAGGAGGCGTTGGTAACGAGTACAATTAGTTGCTTTATCGTCCAATTAACTGGACATTAAGTGGCTAAATGGCGTTTTGACTGGCAAATTCGGTTGATGAGGAACGTGCAATGTTACATTTTCTAATTGCTGAAGATACCATGCTGATCGACATTCATTTCATCTTCTGTGACACATAAATCTTCATTGTACATGACATCCATCTTACGATAAATGTTTATGTGTCACAGAAAACGAAATAAATATCGATCAACATAATATCTTCATCAGTTAGAAAACGTGTCACCACACGTTGTTCTTCATCAGATGAATTTTCCTGTCGAAACGCTGTTTATCCTTTTAATTAGTGAACTGAACGATAAAGCAACCAACTGTGCTCGTTGTCAATGCCTCTTATCCAAGAACACATGATGTCATACACACATTATGCACACGTAATATCACATATGTTGCCAACACCAAGTATGCATAATGAACTTTTTGATATCATGCTGGAGATAGTTCCTACAATACTCGTTACCTTTTCATTTGAATAAACTAATATTATTGCGAATTTTTATAATTTTTAGTTCGAACAAACTGCGCACCGATTATTTGCTGAAACAATACCGGACTAAAACTAAACTACGTAATATCACAAATTAAAGTGACAATCTGATGCTAATAAAATTTTAATCAAATTTAGTTTTTGCCAAAGGAGTTAATGAAATTACAACACGGAACTACGTGACTATATAAAACATTACAAGCTGTTTCTTGTGATTCTGCGAACTGGTTTTATGTACATAGGTCTTAGAGCGGTTGGCCGTTTTAGTGTACCTTAATATCGTTGTATATTGATTTAATCTGGCTATAAAAAATAAAATATTTTGAAATATAAAATACATATTTTATCTAACATCACAATAAAGTGAATTGACGATTTTGTCAATTTTCCTATATTTATATTAAACATAAACTAATAAACATATTTTTATGACAATTTATGCATAAAGGTTTTAATGCATATCAGTGTGCACTGAGTGCATCTAATAGGTATCACTATTAGTTTATCGATATTATAGAACATACTTTACGGCGTAAAAAATGATAATAGTTCCTAAAAATAGAAAACAGATAAAGAACACTGTTAAAAAAAGATCGTTTTTTGCCGCAGCCCACCAATGGACACGTAAAACATAGTGAATTTTATAGATTTTGATCCGTCGAACATTATGGTGCTGTTAGTTTTCACTGAAAATGTGCCATGTGGGGAACATCGTCATTTTTTAGATTTAAGTTATTATATAATATTTTATTTTATGGTGTTGTATGCATATATATTTATATTATTTTATATATATATTATATTGTATTCCAATATTTTCTATCGAAAAAGTTAAAAGCTTGATTTCTCAGAACAAGTTAAATATTTTTTAATTTTTTTATAATGTAACATATAATATGTGTTTACGGCATAGAAATGTTTTAATAGTATGATTTTTGAAAATATAATAAGTAAATTGTTATCTGGATGCAAATACTAATTCAATTATTGGCAATTTTTAAATACTGTCGAATTATTATTCACATTCGAAATTGGACGTTTCTATCGTGAAATCTGGCAACGCATTTGGGAAATAGCAAAAAATACCTGGCTCTAATGCAAGTTACAGCGACACGAAACTGTGAGTACACGCCACGTATTTTTCTAAAGGTACTTCGGAAACAATAATTATTCCTTTCGTCTTTATCGCCGATGGCAATTACCACTACCTACATTGCTTTTATTGCTTCTATTAGCACTAGATTCTCGTTGAAGATTCTCTTTAGCAATCGTAAAAAAGCAATTAACTTTGCGTGATGAATGGTTTCTTCTGTGATATTGGGTTTAAATCTGAAAATGTTGAATTGTTGTTTTTGGTAAAAGAATTTTCTTTTAAAAATAATCACACTTTTTCTGTCTCTTTTCTAATTTAATAATTAAGTAAATTAATAAGTTTAAAAAAGATAAATATACAGAGTGTATATATGAGAGATCAAAAACTCGCGATTTAAAATACTCTAGCAAGAAAAATCTCGGAAAATTAAGTAAAAAAGTTATTTGTAAATTTTTATTTTTTAAGCAGTAATTTTTTAAATAATAAAGATTTATAAATATGACCAATTACAGACTATGTTTAAATGGCCATCTGTCCATAGGTTGCACGTCCATTTTGAAACAAATCGATTTTGGGTGCAAACGAAGAATCAACTTGTTTCGGAATGTGCAAATGAAAATTTATCGATTGATGTCAATCTCGTTTTTTTAGAATTCGAGCCAAAATTGTGTTTTTTGAATCGTGAAGTTATCGCCAACATTTATTTGTTAATAACTTTTGAACTGAAAGCGTACAAAAAATCGACTTGTTTCGGAGTGTGCAAACGGAAACCTATCGATTCATGCCATTTTGCGTAACTGCGATTTGAACCTATTTATCTGAGTTGATTGTCCTCGAAACTTTAGTTGTTAATAATTTTTCTTACTAAAGGTGTGCACATGAAAAATCAATTTGTTTCAGAATGTACAAACGAAATCTATTAATTGAGACTATATAAACCTAATTTGGTTGCTGTGGTTGGGGGACTAGTATGAAATCAGCTCTCCCTTAAAATTTTTTTTAAATAACTCTTTTACCAGAAGTGTAACAAACAAAAATTCGAAGTGTGCATGTGTAAACGATGAACAATCACACACAAATGAGCCATAGAAAGTTAGTTTTTTCAAATGTTGTATGGCTAACACTTTACACGGGTTGCATTAATACTTATAGGTGACCATTGATCATCTCGATCATCATCTAAATAAACGTAATAATTAGCCATGTTTAGAGTTCAGAAAATATTGCTTAAAATAAAATTTACTAACTTTTTTATTATATTTTTTATAAAATTTAATAACTTTTTTATTTATTAGTAACTTTTTTATTTTTTTCTGATTAAAGTATTTTGAGTCGCAAACTTTTGATCATCCCGTATAATGAAATTTGGTTAATTTTGTGATTGGAATAATGCAATGCAATGATATAATAAAGCGTGTCATAACAATAAAATCTTTAAATAAGGGATCACTGAAAAATTACTTGCCTATTATTTGATAAAATAAATAGATCTGATATTGTCTATATTATAAACAGTTTACAATTAAAAAAGTTTCTTTTGATTCTGTCGAGTTACAAAAAGATTGTATACAATGTTACTTTTTATGTCTTTTTTGTAGAATTTTGAGCGTACAAGTACTCCACGTTTTTGTGAGTCAGGTTGAAGTACGATAATGAAAGGTAAAATGGATTTGACTACCATACCGGAAATGTGTTCAAAGTGAAAAGGAAACTCGGTAACGATCTCCCTTCGAAAATTCGAGGGTTGCTAGACCCTTCACAAAAGAACAGGAAAATTACCGTGTTGAATGAGATCGTATGCAAAAGGCTGAAAAGACTCAAAATCAAAGGGCTATATAAGAACTAAACGCAAAAAAATATTTTGCTGCTCCAGCTACAATTATAACTGTTTTTTATATCTGATGATAGAAAATTATATATCATACGCATAGAATTTATAGGACAAATCTAAATTCTATCTCTGTCATCTATATGATTAGATGCAATACATATCCAATATGATAGTATTTGCTAGAAATTTATCTGTTCCAGCTATTTTTCGTACTTAGATAATTTTCGTTGTACTGCAAGATCACTTTTTTAACTATACATAATAAAAATGTTAAGTTAAAAGGAAATGCTGTTTAATGAGAAACATAATAATACTATTAGATAAAGTACATTTCGATAATTTTATTAGTATAGATTGTTTTATAAATTAATACACAAAAATTTAATTTTCAATTTGAACCAGTTATAAACAATTCATAATGCTTAAATAATTTAGATTAAATAAGTTCAAAATGTGTTACTTGTAAATCTATTTAAATTGAGTTTATGTATTGAATAGTATCGCAGTTGTATACAATTAACTAGCACTTAGATAATTAAATCTTTATAAATAAGAACGACATCGACAAATAAACGAAATCAAAGATAGAATTACCAACGATTCAAAAGTTGGATTACCGTCTTCACGAAAAACCGAGACAAATCATCTACTCGAATGTGATGGTACTAGGCCAACTTCAAAGTGCTCTTTTTTGCTTGAACCAGGGTGGCTTGTCATGACTTTTCATAGCACTGATTCTTTCAAAAACTTTTCCATTTTTATTTTTGTAGAGTTGATTCGGTGCCATGAAAAAAATATCAACGTGAACTTGTATGAACATAAAATAATTTGTCGTTTTTCGAGTAACGATTCAAGTATATGCGACAATGAAATTTACCACAGAATGGAAATGTATTAGCGTTGTATGTTATACGCATTGTGTGTTTGTACACGTTATAAAATTTTATACTAAATCTAGATTATAAAAATATTCTTCAAAAATTGTTAGCTTTCTTTTTGATACACATTACTTTATTTTTATTTTTTATTTAGAATTGTAGATTGTGTGTGTGCATACGTATTTTAATTTTTCACAAATCAATTTGCAGCTAATAGATGAGATTTATTTGTAATATTTAGAAAAGCATACAAATTAATTTAACTAAAATCACATTAGATCATAAAATCTCTTGTTACGAGAATTTAATTTCTCTTTACATATGCCAGAATGTGGTTCATACTGGCGGAAAGAAATTTGGGATGCGGAAGTTTGAATTTATACGACGTTCTAGACTTTACGCTCGTTTCAGCCGCAGTTTCCCAATTTTATGGAAATTCGTGCAGCTCCTATATTGGTGGAAACAGAGATGGAAGATTTAGCAAGTCTGCGGTACATAGCTGACTGTTACTTTCTAGCAGTAAATGTACGAGCAAACGTACGATGCGAGTAGATTAATTTTTTTTAAATTTACATTTGACTGTCGTATAAATTGAAATAGTTTTTGCAATTTTTTTTAAATGCACTAAAAAACATGAATAACAAAATGTGTGATGTACGTTATTGAAAATGGTATACAGTATATATAGTATTGACACGATTTTTGTGTGTATCCATAAAATGTTATGTTGCACTACGTCATTCTTCGTCGATCAATCTTCATTCGAAGCATTGAAAGAGACCTTCAATAGAGTGAAATTCACTGCTCTGTGCGAGCACTATTGTTGCGATTTAATGTGCTATTTGCCGGACAAAAGATTGAGAAAATGTAAATTTTCCCTCGATTTCGTGTTTTATTCTAGCTAATTTGAAAACGATTTCGTTTATTTTGTTTACTCGATTGCAAAACTGTTACTCATGCAATTTGTGACAGTTTAGCAAGTTTAATTACACGGTTTATATTTTTGTTATTGATTTTGAAATTTTAATATGTACAAGAATATTAACATATACATATACGTGATGCAAGTTTTCTTTTATATCGACTCTGAGAATAGCGCAATTTCCAGAGAAATTTTCTCATGGGGTAAAGTTGTGCGCCGCACGTATCAGGTCTTGGGGATTAAGGCAAAAGATATGTCGGATTACTTTGGGATATATAGTGGCAACCTCGCAATTTCGCTTTACTTTGAACATCCCTAAGTCTTAATGCGGCTTAAATGACTTTAACGCCGCTACGACCAATGTTATATTCTCGTGCTTTGCATAGGTGAAACGCGCATTATGCGTTTACGAATAATTTCCACGGATTGATTCTGCGATGTTGCAATATCGCTGAAAATTTTTAAAAACTAGTGCATAATATAAAGTTGACTTGATAGAAAAATCCGAGACGCTGAATAGAAGCCATAATAAAGCAGACTGTTCTGCAATGTCGTCTTTTCTCCTCATCTTCTTCGCTATTGTCGTCGTTGTTATCATCATCGTAGTCATGTTTCTTTAACGTGACCTCCCTTCTTCGTTTTTGAATCTGTCTTCTATCTCGACCCTTTTACAGGCAAATTCGCTTCAAATTGCTTCTGAAAATCTCATTTCCACTGAGATCCTTGTCAAAAAGAAAAAGAATTACGCGCTGTTATGGCAGATACATGAACCGCCTCCAATGTAGTGCGCGATAAAGAATGTGTGCCGAAAAGAACGACCTGGCGAAGTATCTTGAATGAAACAAGAAGAGCACAGGACGAAAATACGGTAACGTACGTAAGGAGGATGAGAAGACATGACGGTATTTTCCGCTCTTTGAAGATCGTTGATATAAAGCTTCTTGGAACGATGTTTTCGTGGTATATGAATCGTATCGCGTGAGCTATGCTTGCGGTTAAAATTACGAAGCGAGTTGCGAACGTTGAAGGCATGTACGCACACATGGAAAACGAGTGAGATATTTAAATTACTTTCTCTTAGAGTTCATTCAATTAAGAAAAAAATTTCTCAATACACTAGAAGCGTTCGATTCATATATTTATTTTATTACTGAGTTAAAGAGTAAAAAAAAAGAGTTATTCTTGAGACAACTTTTTCTCACAAGTCATAAAATTCAAATTTTTTTAAATTGAAGATACTTTTTTATTTTGAGAAATATATTATTAAAATGTGATTAATGAAACTCTTCTTTTGAATTAAAACTATTAAATTATGCTTCATTAATTATATCTTGTTAATTAATGTCCCTCATAGAATATGTCACTGTTATATTTTCAAAATCAGTGATTGCTGATATTGAGGTTGCTGCATCCAAATTCGTAAAACTACGAATTTCTAATACAATTATCAAATTGAATTCAAATATGCCTTGTAATATGACGTGACACAAACCATGTAATACACATCACATGTCAAAAACGTTATTATCAAAAGCATTTATGCTCAACTATACACAATTGTTTAATAAATTAATTAATATGGAATGATTAATTAATAGGTACTAAATATTATGTACATCACTAACGAAACAATAACTGCATCCAAATTTTAATATAATTAGTCCAAAAATTTCAACATTTTTTTCTGTATAGCAATTATGTAAACAGTGCTCTATTAAAGTTCTGGAATTTTCGATACGCGTTTCCTGAATTATGCACTTTTAACTTTGTTTCACGAACAAAATTGAGAAATGGTATTATTGTACCCCATTTGTTATACAATAATATGATTAATAATTAATGTTTAAATTTAAAACTTAAAAATTATATTCGTCAAAGTGTTGACATACATATGACATTATAAGAGAGTTAAAACGGCATGACATTATCTATGTACGCGCGTGTCAATTTCCGCTACAAGACATCACTCAAAGTGTTGCTGCTGATGTCTTTATTCTTCAGCGATCTGTAACGTAAACGCTCGAATTCCGTAACTTTCAAATCAGGCGTGATCAACTAGTTCACGAACTATTATTTGCGTAACCAAGATTGATGGTAGTTATTTCTCTCCCTTACAGGAAGACGCGGTGACACGGCGATTCAATACGGAACTACGAGTGTTCGACAAAGACTGTAAAACGGGCGCGAACGAGGAAGTGGAGCCCGTTTCGGGAACCGGTGAGATTCAAACACGAAACCTGGGTCAAGGTAAGTTTATCATTGTATCATTATCAATTATAAGATTTTTTAAGGTCTTAAATGCTATGTAAAACGGAAGATGTACAGAATTTAAAAAAACGCAGTAAAAAGTATGAATTTTCACGTAATTAATAAATTAAATCAACGTTTGATTTAAAATTATGTTTTATTATAACATATATAAATTATCTGCTTTATATTAAAAGATTTGATTTGATGCAAAACAATTACGAAACACGTCAATTTTTTATGCACATAATTTTTTATATAAACAGTTTGAGAAAAATTACCGTGTGCTCGTTTCTCATTTTTGCAAAAACAATTTGTATCTCGCGTAACCTTATAAAAATGCAAATTGATTTCCAGAAGAAAAGAATGATCTTTTGAAAAAAGTAGTAAGTAACAGAGTAGTATGGAAATACTACTAGCGGAAGGACTTTTGACATCTTGTCTAGAAATACAGTTACATCGTCGTTTTTAATGATGCACGGAAATTTTAATGGATTTTTCGCACCGCCAGTGCTTGACAGTTTGTGCATTAAAAATTTTTGCCGCGTCCTCAGCGATTTTAACTGAGTTTCAACGTGTCGTTCACACGCGTCGACTATGCCACTCAAGCGGATAATCGATAGAATAAATTATTCTATGTCGATCATATGACAAACTAAGTTTCACGTCGATGTTGATGCAGAAAATCATATTTTGCTGTAAAAGTCAATTTAACCAAGTGTTGCCCACATTATTACAATTTATGGAATATTACTGCAAACTTTTCTAAGTGCTTAGAAAGAAATTAGCAATTATTAAACAATTGAAAATTTAATAGAATATTTTACTTGTCTTTTTTGAAGTTATAATATGATTAAATTAAGAAAATAAAAACAGAAAAATGTAATTATAATTATTATAAAATAAAGAAAAATTAGAATAAAAAATTACTTGTAATATTACATCAATTAATTAGGATCGTGTTATGTACACTGATGGTCGCTTCAAGGTTCGATGATTATTGTACAACAATGTTAAATTTGTCATCAAATTTTGCTAACTGCAAGCGGAGCGAGCCAATTTGGTGGCCGCAGGTGAACATTGTCTTCCGTTAATTAATTTCGGTCCGCTAAATTCACTGAAAGTTTCGCATAGACTGGAAAGTGACTTGGAGTATTATGCTGTAACTTCTCTTAGGGTATGACCTTGCGCTTACACGATGAAGCTCGCACTGATGTGAACGGTGGTAAAGGCAGTGTAGTGATGGCAATAGGGCTCGTGAAGAGCCTTAGGGTCAAATACCAGAGCAACGCGGTATTTCAAATCCATTTGGGCAGAAATGCAGCTATTCGTAAATTGCTTGAATTAACATCTGTAATGTAAGGATAGATCTTGTCGGTTCTTAACGATAAAATTTTATTTTTATACAAAAATTTTTCCAATATGTGTAACTTGAAAAGTTCGCTTACTATCTTTTTTATTTTATTTCAATAAATTTAATCCGAATTTGTGTTATTCGAGGAAAGAATAGTTATGTTGAAATATCTCAAAATTTTTAGTTAGATACAGATCTGAAATAATATTATTGGATCATCAAAATAATTATGCTTCAGATTCTCGTATATGGTAATTATTCTGATGATTCGACAAAAACATTTTCAGCTTCATATCCAACCGAATTTTCAGATATTTCAGCAAAATCGTACTTTCCGTGTAAATAATATTTTGCACGTTATTGTCTTATTATTAATGAAAAACAAATTTGTATAAAAGTTGTTATATAAACTAAATTTTGTTATTATTAATATGTGTGAAAATTAATTAAATTGTATTTCTTTTATCGTGAATTATCGGTAATTAATGTATCAATATTGGAAAATTAATTAGCAATATCATACATACCTGTAATATAATTTTGATAAATTATATTATCCGATTATAAGTTTACGAGAAGCATTTGGTTGAAGAAACAATATTTTTACGCAATTCTTGCGTCGGTTAACTAAAATATTAATTAATAGCAATCATTTTTGTAAAGCCCTGATTAGATTCTGTAACTTTTGGCGCGCGGCGAATCATATTACTGTTCGATTGATATCGATCGTGGAGGGACTTTTGGGAAATGCAGGCGCATTGATCATCTCAGCAACCTGCCCTGCCGGGCAAGAAATGACTGGAACTTTAGATCTCCCACGGGATCACGCGGCTGGTATGTACACAGGGCGAATTGGGTTGAGGAGAAATTTCAGGCCCGGAGATTTCGCCCTGTATTAATACCCGCGGGGCAAGAAATTGCAAACAAGATCTCCGCGCCGGCACGTGAAATTAATCCTTCGTGTGCAACAGTTGAGGCATCGTTGCGCATAATAGCACCAGCGCCCGTTTAGAATTACGACAGAAGCGACTCTCGGGTGCATGCAAAGATTAAATCGCGCCCGCAATATTCCGTCCGCTCACGCGACTGCTCGACGACAAGCACGCGAACATTTATGAGAGACAAAACGTTTGATTGCCGTACGATATCTCAAAAGCGACTGAAGTCAGAAATAATGGATGCACTTTAAAAAAAGGGTCCGAGACAGAAATATTTTGAAAAAAAGCAGAAAATTTGAATGTATTTTATAAAATAGATTTCATAAATACACCAATAAATACGTCATTTAACAAAATAGTTTTCCAAGATAAAATTAAAAAATGTATAATTGAATAGGTTCTGTATGCAATATAAACTTGTATATGGAATAACAATAAAAATTTATATTTTTTGCACTCTTTTCTTTCTTATGCTTATATTAGATCGACCGCCAATACATATATCATTTAAAGTGGCAAATCGATCAATATAATGTTTATTGTAAATCAATAATATCACCAAAATCACATCATAAAGAAGTAAAAAATGAAGCTTTAAATTATAGACTATCGACGTAATATTTATGACGAAATTATTTCATAACTATGGAGAGAGATATACATAATCTTACACAATACGTTATATGAATTAAGATACAATTTATTTTTCTGTAGAATGAATAGCTATATAATGGTAATAAGTAATAGAATAATATTCTCAATTACTATTTTTCTTAATTAAGCAATAATCACAAATTATAGTACTACAATTCATTAGCGATACATTGGTTAAATATTGATATGCGCAGTGAGGATATATTAGTTCAAGATATTCTGTCCGGTACCATCCGACCTTCCTCTATACTTATTTACTTACAATTATTGCCTGATTAAGAAAAACAGTAATTAATGATGTTATCCATTATTTATTCATTAAATACGACGATTAAATAATAATATATTTTACGGTGATATACTGTCACAAATGTTACGTTTATTTTATCGTTATTTAGCTCACTGACGTCAAATGATGAAAAATGGCCTTGTTGTAATGGCGATATCTTGTTACTTGAGATGCAGTTACTATCTGTCGTTAACGCATCAATAACCTACTGTGACTCAACATATCGTTAATTGGATATCATTGTTGCTAATGCAGCGTGTGCAGCGGCGAAGCGTAATCCCAGATAACAAGGGGAAAGGCTGAACAATAACCGCTGTCGCGAAGTAGAAAATGCCGGTCAGTGTCAGACACGTAGTACGAAGACTGTTCATTGCTGGATATTCAGTCGCCTGAATGGGAAGTCAAGGGAAACGAACGAAGGAAAAAGGAAAAGTTTAAACTAGAAAGAAGGCGAATGGTGGAATGGGATGCGGATGCGGAGGGTCCTAGATTTCCTTCCGAACGACTACCTTTCGATTCCATCGAAGTTACACGAGCCGCTGGATTCCGATCCGAGAGCCGGTCTCTATCTCGTTCTGTCTCCTTTTCAATGGCGCTCCGCTGGCTGGGCTCTCTTGATTGCCGCAACAAAATCAATGCTCGAGAGAGAACGACGATGGGAATTGTGATGAACGGATGTGTGCATGCTTCGTTGCTCCGTGTAAATCGTTCACGCGAGAGAGTCAGGCGAAATTTGAAGCTCGCTGGTTAGGAATTGCGGGTTAGAACGAGCTAACCATTTCCCACATGATTTCCTACTCGACAAACGCCTTTGCTACTCAGAGAAGAACGTATCAGCAAAGTAGTTTTATTGCAGTTTTTATTTAATTTGAAATTCTTTAGTAGTACATAGAAATATTTGTTTCTTTATAAAATGAGGGTGAAGGATATATTGCAGCATTAATAGAAATAAATAACATACAGATAAATGTTATTATTGATAATTTTATAATATCAATAATAGAATTCCAGTACACATGTTAGAATTTTCTTCTACTATTCTTAAAGAACAGAAAAGTTTTATATTATTATGTACAGCACTTGCATGGTGCTAACCTCTTATTGCAATACAATTTAGATTAAAAAAGTTAAAATTGTTGTTAACAACTTACGAAAGTTCTTTGTGTGGGAGACATAATATGTTGCCTTCTCGGGATAGTGCTGATATAGGAAATAATATGGCCAGTTTTATCATTGAAGAATATAGGACGAAGGGAGGTAACGTTGTTACGAATGGCGCTACTGATAACGCCCGTACGGTACGGCGCGTTTCGAACTTTAATCGTAGTTTATAGCCGACTCGCTTGTGCTCTAGTTTCACTTAGTTTCGTGTAATGCGCAAAATTGCAACTTCATCGCGTGGGACGTCCTCGCGAAAAGAATCTGTTTCCGCGAAAAACGGCCTAGTAGTAGTTTAACGGAAGCTTTTTTTACCGATTTTATACGGCGAACTTCATCATTTTGTAATCTAAGAGCAGTGAAACAATAAACTTTATAAATATTAAATTCTATTACATAAATGCCAAATATTAGTTCTAAAATTAGATTATATCACTGCGCAGTGTACAATAGCTGATCGATTATAGATTTGTTTGCAATTGCAGGTTGATTGATTCATTAATCGTAAACAGTAACGCGCACGTTATTGAGGTACAAATTAATATAACAATTGATGAATAGTAATAATTTCTTTATAATAAAGTAATCACATGAATAAATAGAAATT